ACCCCACTAAGTAAGCAAACAGTAATTACTTCTTCGTAATTACCATGCAACTTTATTGCTTTGCATTGCTATAATTATATTTTAAATACTCCCCATTTCCATGATAGACCATAATGCCTTCTAGCACATTACAATCTGTGGCTTTTAACTGCATCTCACTTCCACAAAGGCATTGTTTCCACTCAGTCTCTATTTTAACTACTGTTGAAAGAGACTTCACAAAATTAATTGGCACCATAATTCTGCAATAAAGAAACTGTAGACAATATGATATTTCTGTGCTACTGGAATCATCTCATTACTCAGAGGAGTCGTGTTTGATATCTAAGAAGTATTCCTTCTTCTCTTAGGGAGTCAGTTATAATCAAATCCATGTTTCTCAAACTTCAGTGTGCACACTAATCACTGGGGGATCTGGTTCAAATGGGGATTTTGATCCAGTAGATCTGAGGAAGGGCCCAAGATTCTGCATTTCCAGCAGGCTCCCAAGTGATGATACTAGTGCTGCTGGTTCTTGGACCATCTTCAAGTAGCATCACTTTAGAGTATTTAGAGTCTGATGTTTGAGCTACATGATATGGAGCTACATGGTGTGTTGGGGGTGGGAGATAAAGCTGGGAAAGAAAACTCCGGGTGGGAAGAAAGGTAAGGCACTGTACACCCCACTCAGGAGTGGGAGAGGAGTGATGAAAGATAAGATAAAGAGGACAAATTCTTATCTGTTTATAAAAGAGTTTGAATTTTATCCCTGTAGTATTTAGAACTCACCGAATCACTAGAAAATTATATACATTTTAATTCACCTAATTTACTAATGTTATCTCTTTTACACTCAATGAAATATACCCACCTGGAGAAATTAAAAATCGAAATTAAATTACATTCCTGAAATTCAAGGATAATCTTACAGATATATCCATCTTTTTTTCGAGTGACACATTGAAAATCTGTTTCTAGGGTTTTATTTCTTATTCATGTAGTAACACTTGCAGGCCTATATTTTTCCCGTCATGAGTATCTTCAAGTTAGTGAAGTAACAGCAGTTGCCTCAATTTAGCAACTTCAGTAAATAGAAGTAAGGCATTATCAACATCTACAGTTTATTGAAAATTCTCAAATATCAGGGTTGCTAAGATTTGTGTTTTCTGAGAAACTATAAAACACAAAGACATCTCAGTTGGAAGTAAAGAAAAGTCTTACTCCATGACTTTTTGAATTTCTCTTAGGGTAAAAATAAGTTTTTGCAAAGGGGATTGGGAGCAGGGTGAAAAAGGTGAAGGGATTTAGGAGTACCAACTGGTGGTTCAAACACTCACAGAGATGTAAAATACAGCATAGGGAATATAGTCAATCACACTGTAATAACTTTGTATGGTGCCAAGTGGGTACTAGACTTATGGGTGGCTTTGCGAGTTATATAAATATCTAATCACTATACCAAAACTAATATGAGTATCAACTGCAATTAAAACTTTTTCATTTAAAAAATAATGGAAAAATTTAAGATGGGTTTAAATTCCAGAATCTCAGTTTATCTGTATTTGATCATTAGCAAACTAGAGTATTGATTTGGTAATGTCATTGCAAGGATGCCTCTGCAAAGTTTTTTGATGCCAGTGTGTAAAAGAAATAAATCCTAAGGTTAACAATTTGTTCAGTGCCTCTTGTTTTCCTGCCATGCTGCCCCCCTGACTGTATAGCATCCAAGGCTGCACAAAAAGGCATTTGAACATGCATGTGCAGACATGTGTATGCATGTACACATATGTGTACACACATGTGTGCATATATGTGTGTAGACATATATTAATTATCATGATTGTGTAAATGTGTGCTGCATATTTTGCATATTTAATTATATATTTAATACATATATTTTAACTAGGTATTTGGAAATCCTGCCTTTTTAGATATGGAATTATAGGTATATTGTTGTTTTATGGAGAACAAACTAAAAGTAGGGATTACCTCTTTCAACAAAGAAAAATTTCCTAGAACTTCATTCTAGAACTGTTATGATCAAATAATTTAATGTGGGATTTGGGGAAAAGAGCACTCAGTAAAACCTATTATTGTGTGGATGGTACCATAGTTTTTCTAGTAAGTGAAATGCAACTTTGATGGATTTAAACTTCCAATAGATCTTTTGCAATGGAGTCACAAAAAATAGTAGTAAAAATAATTTTAAAAAACAGAAAAATGGATATTCATCATGGGCAAGTGCATTTCGACACACATGAGTAACATGACCTACACCTAGCTGGTGTGGCTTGGTAGATTGAGCACCAGCCTGCAAACCAAAGTAGTGCCAGTTCATTCCCAGTTATGGCATATGCCTGGAATGTGGGCCAAGGTCATGTTTCCAGTAGGGGGTGTGCCAGAGGCAACCACACACTGATGCTTCTCTCTCTCTCCCTCCCTTCCCCTCTGTCTAAAATAAATAAATAAAAATTTTAAAAAAGAGTAACATGACCTGCATCATACAGCTGGTAATGGAGGCCCAGCTTTGCTGATGACTCAGGAGAGGGGCCTGGGCTACAGGGGCCAGAGGGTCCAATGACAAGCTGTTGTCAGCAAGAACCATTCTGGAAACACAGATCCTCTCCATGAGCAAATCTTTTTGTTGTTCTTGGAGAAGAGTCACACATTCTGTGGCCAAACCACGATGGAGTTCAAATGGAAGAGAAATGATGTAAAATTAAGCCCAGTTGATTAAACACCCTGAACTCTGACTCTGACAAATGATCGATCACCTTTCCCAGCTGATAACTGCCAGTGTGGCTCACAGAGATGCTAAGAGATACTGGTAGTTACAGCTAACATGGAGTTCGTAATTATTTAAGTACCATACAGTGTTTTAAGCCCTTTCTATGCATTAATTCATGTTATTCTCACAATAGCTCTTTGAAGTAGATTACATTATCATCCCTATTTCATACAGGAGGAAAATGAGTCACAGAAATGTATTTTTTAAAGTATATATTTCCTGCCTTAGTAAGGCAAGAAGCCAGACCTCAAACCCAGGAAGCCGACTGCTACCCCTAATAATTGACTGCACCCAGAGTATGATTAAAGCCTCTAGAAAGAGGAATGACCTGAAGAGAAGCCACTGTGATAGTCTGTACTGTACTATGTACTCTAAAAGAATGTGCTGTAGGAGGCAAAATTGTAATGAGTCTTGCTTCTGACAGTAGCGAGTATGACTCATGAAAGTCATTATCCAACGAAGCATAAAAGGTAGAATCTATAATTCTTTACAGCAGGATATTTAAGGTATGTCTAGATTTGGTTGTCTTTGTGGGAAATCTGTGTTATTGCCAGTGATAAACTCATATGTTAGCATGACCATACTCTTTAAATGGATGGCTGTACCTCAAACATTTATAATGTCAAGAGAGAAAATATCCTATAGTGAGGCATTATATATATATATATATATATATATATATATATATATATATATATACACACTTTTAAAATCTCACAGGAAATTTTCTTACACAAAGAGTTTTGAGATCCAGTGCTTGCATTTACCCATTTGGTGTTCATCTGAAGAAATAATTTAGACTATTTCTAATGTGAAGAATTCACTAATCATTTGTTGCTTCAGCCAGATTAGTAAATGGTCTTGGCTGGAATGGTAAAGATGACTCATCTACATTTGTGTTCCACCTTCCAGTAGGCCAGGCCGGGGACATTAGCCATGCAGAGAGGCACGAGAAGCAAGGCCTAATGCCTGAACATTTTAAAATCTGCTTTGTCTCATTTGCCAATATCTCATTGGCCAAAGCAATTTACCTGGGGTCAGACCAAGATTCAGATTGTGAGGACTCAACAATACTACATGAAAAAAAATAGGATACAGGAAGGGGTAAAGAATTAGGGCTATTAATACAATTCATTTTTAGCTAAACACATTTTTTTTTGCCAGAGTACAGAGGGGTGGGGAAGGAAAGGGTTCATTGTGGTTTTCAGACTGTAAATTCACAAATTAATATTTGGTCTGTTCAAGCAAATACACTAACAACAACAACTCAAAAAACCCTCTCAAGCCATGTTAGTGTATTGATCAAGTTTATTGGGCCAGTTTTGCTCCCCCCTCCAATTCATTCATTTTTAAATAATTTGTAGCAATAACAAGCAGCAATTTTTTCAGTCAAGTAGAAATGGTATCAATATTTTCAGTCAAGTGGATGTGGCATCAATTCTTAAAGAATAATTTTTGTCCTGTTATATTTTTAAAAGATTGTCATTTTTGCAATGTTATTGTTGGAAGAGGAATTCTGTCATACTTTAGTTTGGGTCAGTTTTTCTGAGGAATTAAGTTTACATAAGTCACTGAGGACCATGTATTCCCCATTCATAATTCATTTGTTAGGGCCATTTCCATTGGCTGTATTTTATTATGTGGGTTCACTTAATATTCAAATAATTATTCTCCCTGAGATTCTGACTAGATTTACTGGGAAACTGGACTGAAAGAGGTTGGGTGAACAATCCATTTCTAGGTTTTATGAAATTGTAGAGAATAATAAGAAATAAAAATAGCTAATTTGCTTGCAATTTCAGAATAGCTCCCTTAGTAGAAAGAAGCTCCTGTCTCTTTTCCAAGATAGAATTTGATGGTCTCTATAGTGAAAACGTAGTTGATTTGAAGGAGAAATGTTTATCCAAACCCGAAGACTGGTTATGAATGCATTTCTAACGTAACTGGAAGGGGCCGACACTTGCCTTTTCACTTCTAAGCCAAGTTCACATTTTGCTTCAGCTGATTATTTTTTCAACCGTATTTGTTATCTTCTTTTATGATCTGCCAGTAATTTTTTGAAGCCCAGTTAGAACAGAGGCCAACAGAGCAGAGACTCAAAAAGGGCCAAATATCTCTCCAGAAACAAGACTACTTCAAAAGCTATGCATTACAAAGCCCTACTGTGACTCAAATAATCACTTATTTTTTAAGGGGGATTTGCTAATAGAGGCTTGGTTTCTTATCTCCCCAGCCCCTAGTGAGCCTTTACTGTGCAAATTCGCTGATGGAGGACAAAAGAAGAGACAGAATCAAAGCAAATACACCCAGAATGGAAGGCCGTGGCCCAGGGAAGGAGAGGTGAGTCCTGGCTGGCTTGCGCTCAGAAAGTGGGCAGCAGTCACCCCTCAGAAGAGCAGCAAGACCTACACGTGGGGCCCTGAGGAAATCGGGTCCCATGGAAAACCAAATGGCTTCACAGGGGGCAAAGGAGCAGGACTGTGTTAATGTACTCAGGATAGAATGACTTGAGAACGAGTATAGGACTTCAGAATTGACCTCCGTTCTGCACTACACTAAGTCTTCTGTCATTAACCCAACTTGAACTTCATAGCCACTCACAGAAAGACTTGTTTGCAAAGAACTGATTTGTAATTGTATGGTATATAGTGATACATAATTTAGGGTATGATTACTTAAGAAAATATTTTCAGTGAAATCAACAGTAAGAGTTGAATGTTGGTGTTTTGAGAAAAGCAAACAAAAAATAAGATTTATTTCATTCTACCATTGGGGTGTTCTACCTGCACAAGTATGTGTATTTGTGTATATGCCCATAAGTTCATAAATGTGTCGATATGTGTTATATATGTGTATATATCAATATAAAATATAATGTTTATATTGGTCAAGGAGAGAGAAAAGGTAATATGCAAAAGGTTCTGTTTTTCACAACAATGAGAAAAGCATGTAACTATTAATTTTCCATTTACTCTACTAACACCGAACAGTGGAAAAGCAAGCCTATGGATCCAATTGCACTTGGAATGATTTTTGGTTATTTTTTATTGTAAGAAGACAAAGAAAAGGTGTCTGGGCTTCTAAGAGGTCTTTTTATTCTTTGTGAAATGGAATGAAGTTGTTTGAATGACTTGAATAAATGCCATTTTGTACCAAGGCCATAATTTCAACAGAAGAGCTTTATTTAGCATTTCTATTCAAAGCACCCACTTCATCCATTTATTATTTAAGAGGCATCCGATTTGATGTAGCATTTTACACTCAGCACAGAGAGGAGAGCTGTAAGGAAAGAAAGGGAGCACAATTTTTCTGAGCAAAGCCTTTAGCCATTTCTCGGTTTCTAGGACCTCCATCTGTTTTGAGTATTTTCGTGCAGGTCCAAAAACCCCTCTTAAAGAGTATAGTTATGTCTAAGTATTGTATAACCTATAACTCATTACTTTAACACATGAAAAAGAGAATCACCATGAAGTGCCTAAAGCTAATTTTAAAAAGGCAAGAGTTTCAATATTCTCAGTGTTAACAAGGCAGAATGACCCAGGTGTTTTTAGCATGCAGCAGTGAATAGGGTCGCTGATTTCTGCTAACACTCATTATCATGTGGGTCTCATACCAAATATTTATCTCTGGAAAGACTCATTCAATCTTTTAAAACTTGGTTGGGTCAAATGCCCACTGATTAGAAAGATTTCTGGATTACAAACCATAACCTAAAACCCTGAAGACTGAATTAGGTAATTTAGCATGAATGACTGAAAGTTTAGTTCTTGTCTCCTCAAGAACTTATAATATGACATTTGCAGTGTAGTACTGCAATGCCAGTTGCAGTAACACACCTCGCCTGAGTCTACATTTCTTAGAAAACAATCCAATAGACATCAAAGAAATGCAGCATAAGAGCTGCCACCTGGTACTGTGTACGGAATGCTGGTTTGGAATATGATACGAAAGAGCATGTGTGGTGTTGGCCGGGAAACACTGTGGTGTCAAGTTTAGGACCCAGAGCACCTTAGAATTTAAACGCAGGTTTGAAAAGTACATTCTTAATCCTTGCTTTCAAAAGTCATTCTTTAAGAGCTATAAGTTTTTCTGTTAAACTATGAAAATCAAGGGACCTTCATAAATTTATCTGTAACCAATACAAATATATTCCAAGTGTGTAGACACATTCAGAGGCAAGAAATCAGAAAGGGAAATGACACACACTAAAGATATGCTTCTCAAATATCTTGTTTTGCAGATGAGCATGTTAATTTTTACAATTTTATTGTGGTCTTAGAAATTGACACACCAAGAATTTTGGGTAACTTTCTGTGTCCATCATTATATGTTGTTTGTGTCTATTTCCCCATGGATTTGGCTGGCTAGAGTAAATTAAAGTATATTGTCATGGCTGATAAAGTATGACAATATGCATCAATCATATGTAAGCAATAGTTAATTCATCTTATATACAGTAAATTCTAATTACTGCTTTTCTTTTTTTCTAAGATACACATTTTTGTTACTGTTTTTCCACATTTTAAAACTTTTGAAATTGACCTTGGCTGGCATAGCTCAGTGGATTGAGCACGGGCCTGTGAACCAAAAGGCTACTGGTTCGATTCCCAGTCAGGGCACATGCCTGGGTTGCAGGCCAGGTCCCCAGTAAAGGGGCATGTGAGAGGCAACCACGCAGTGATGTTTCTCTCTCCCTCCCCCTCTCTAAAATTAAATAAATAAAATCTTTTAAAAAATAAATAAAAATAAAACTTTTGAAATGGGTTTTCCTCATATTCTCAATACCATTACAAGATAATTTGTGTTTGCTCCTGTTTGTTACCTGGGGTAGTACCTCCATTTTCTGCTTAAGGACTATGATCACACTGATTGCATGAACTGAAACTTTAATCAAAGTAAGAATGGTGGGTCAGATTCCTAAAGGAAATTTTTTTGTCCCTTTCTTTCATCCAGTGTTATGATTGAGACATGCAGCTTCCCTTGAAGTTTGTTTCTAATGGGTGGTATTGTTTTTCTATCATCTTATAGACCTTTGACATCCCAGCTTTATAAGGAGATCATTTTGGGTGTTAGTTTTTGCTTGTTTGCTTTGTTATACACTTGACCTTGAAAAACACAAGTTTGAACTACACAAGCCCACTTACATGTGCTTTTTCAATAAATGTACAGTTGGTTCTTTGTATACACTGGTTTCCCGTCCACAGTTTCAAGCAACTTCAGATGGAAAGCAGTATTGGCAATGTGCAGTTGGGAATCTGCAGATGGTGAAGGCCAACTCTATGCTATTTTATATCAGGGACTTGAGCATCTGTAGATTTTGATGTGTGTGTGTGTGGGCATGAGGGGTGAGGGCTTGGTCTTGGAACTAATCCCCCATAGATACTTAGTTAAGTTTAAGGAAGTCAACAGTTATATGTGAATGTTTTTTAAATATATGTTATTGATTATGCTATTACAGTTATCTCATTTTTCTCCCCTTTATTCCCCTCCACTCTGTACCCCCTTCCCATATCATGATTTCCCCACTTTAGTTCATGTCCATAGGTCATACATATAAGTTCTTTGGCTTCTCCATTTCCCATACTACTCTTAACCTCCCCCTGTCTATTTTGTATCTACCATTTATGCTCCTTATTCCCTGTACCTTTACCCCCATTCTCCTCCCTCTCTCTCTCACAGCTGATAACCCTCCCTATGATCTCCATTTCTGTGATTCTGTTCCTGTTCTAGTTGTTTTCTTTGTTTTTGTTTTTGTTGTTTTTTTTTAAGGTTCATTTGTTGATAGCTGTGAGTTTGTTGTCATTTTACTGCCTATAGTTTTGATCTTCTTTTTCTTAGATAAGTACCTTTAACATTCCATATAATAAGGGCTTGTTGTTGATGAACTCTTTTAATTTGATCTTGTTCGGGAAGCAGTTTATCTGCCCTTCCATTCTAAGTGATAGAATACCATTTGTGGGATAGAGTAATATTAGGTGTAGTTCCTTGTCTGTCATGACTTGGAATACTTCTTTTCAGCCCCTTGTTGCCTGCAGGGTTTCTTTTGAGAAATTAGCAGATGGTCTTATGGGAACTCCTTTGTAGGTAACTGTCTCCTTTTTCTCTTGCTGATTTTAAGATTCTCTCCTTATCTTTAATCTTGGATAATGTAATTATGATGTGCCTCAGTGTGTAATTCCTTGGGTCCAACTTCTTTGGAACTCTCTGATCTTCCTGGACTTCCTGGAAGTCTATTTCCTTTGCCAGATTAGGGAAGTTCTCCTTCATTATGTTTTCAAATAAGTTTTCCATTTCTCACTCTTCCTTTTCTCCTTCTGGCACCCCTATGATTTGGATGTTGGAATGTTTAAAGTTGTCCCAGAGGTTCCTAAGCCTCTCCTCATTTTTCTGAATTCTTGTTTCTGCATTCTGTTCTGGTTGAATGTTCATTTCTTCCTGTTGGTCCAAATTGTCTATTTGAGTCCTAGTTTCCTTCCTTTCACTGTTGATTCCCGGTACATTTTCCTTTATTGCACTTTGCATATCCTTTACTTTTTCCTCTATTTTGCTACCATACTCATTCATTTCTGTGAGCATACTGATTACCAGTGTTTTGAACTGTGCATCTGATAGGTTGCCTATCTCCTCATCACTTAGTTGTACTTTTTCTGGAGCTTTGATCTGTTCTTTCATTTGAGCTGTATTTTTTTGTCTTGGCACTCCTGTTACATCGTAAGGGCCGGAGCCTTAGGTATTTGCCAGGGTGGGGCAACGCACTTGGCTGTGTTGTGGAGCTGTGTTTGGGGGAAGGGTCACAGGGGGAACAGCGCGGCTTACTCAGCTCTCACCCAGCTTTCAGTCACTTCCTCTTCTACCTACAAGTGAATTGGGCCCTTCTGGTGCTGTTTCCCAGGTGGGTGGGTTTGTGTACATTTTAGGAGCCTGTATGTCTCTCTAATGAACTCTCCTGTAAGGCTGAGAGTTTCTCCCACCGCCTCAACCCTCACAGGTTTTTTCAGTCAGAGTTTTTTTGGCTTTATTTCCCAGTGCTGGACCCCTGAGTTGGGCAGTCTGTTTTGCTCCGTAGTTGTTCCTCCTGGTTTATCCCCATGCAAATGTGAGACCCCCCCTCTCCACCAGCTGCAGCCTTGCACTAGTCCTCTCCACTTGTCCTCCTGGTCTGGATGAATGTTTCTTCTTTAACTCCTTCGTTGTTGGACTTTTATACAGTTCAGTTTTCTGGCAGTTCTAATTGTTTTTTGTTTTTAAATTTATTATTGTCCTTTTGGTTGTGCAAGGAAGCCAAGTGTATCTACCTATGCCTCCATCTTGGCCAGAAGTATATGTGAATATTCAACTGC